ATAATAGTAAAACTCAAGTTTTTGATACTGGTAGTTTTGTAGTGTGAGGCAGTTGATCTCACATTTCTATTTTGAGTTAAAGATGATTAGTACTGTTTAAATAAAAAATTGTTAAGCCAATCATGGTAAACCAAGCCAGGCCTGTGCACCTGAAGATGTGACAGTATTATGGCTAGGGGCAATGCCGGTTAACAGAGTTTTCTGGTTAACAGAGGTTTCACTGTAGATGGTGAAATTCTTTCCTGACATCACACACATGGCAATAAATTCAACTTTGAGCACATCAGGGATAAAAAACAGCCATCTAAGCACCTGAGAGAATACTCATTGCCATTTGAGTACTCTGGCCTTCTCTATTCAATGCCTCATTGCTGGCCATGGCTATCCCTGGTCCTTCTGAAGAAGACTATTCAAAACAAAACAAAACCCCAGAATCAACTGAAGGTGGGGGAATCTCTTCATGACCCCATGCATGAGACCCTGATGTATGAGCTTTTAGGAACAAAACAAACTGCAAATAAGCAGCAGGGTTGCCATTTCAGCAACAAGCTAATGAACGTCTTATCACATGTTAGTGCGCTGAATAGTATATCAAACAATGCAAATGTAGTATTTAAACCAGCTCCTCAAATTGTGGCATTTAACTTGGCTATTCACTCATCCACCAATAGACAATGTCTGATCAGCTAACAGCAAAAAATATCTAGATCTCACATTTATATTGCCACAAAAATATGTACTTTTTCAACAAGTCATTTCCCCATCTTCAGAAATAGAGATAAGTTGAAATCTCAAGGATAGTAGTAACACTTAGAGGACTCAACTAAAATCAGAAATCGCCTTTGTGCTAAGTATAATAAATAAAAATTCAGAGCTTTCTAGTGTCTCCTCCTTTTAGTTACTTAAAATGGCAAAAGGGCGGGAGTAAAGAAGTGCTAGACTCACTTTACAGACGGACAACAAACAGATAACACGTCACATAGCTAAGGCCACCCAGAATGTCTATAACAGACCTAGGAATTGAACCTGAATCTCCAGAGTTCAGTATCTTAACTTACAGAGAGGAAGGAGAGACTTTTTCATGTCTGAAAGGGCTTGTCCATTAGGAAATAGATTTTAAGTCCCACAATTCTCCTACATTCACTCAAAACAGTTTGCTTTTGGAGCATAACTTGCCACTGTACTTTATTTTTTGGTTATTATTCACATGGGCTAGAGATTCAAGCTAGCAAAGTGAGTAACCAATGGTAGCTGCTTTGAGGTCTGTCTCAAATGATTTCCTATGGTGTCAACTAAGGTCATTACAGTAAATAAATGGCCTTATCACAAAGTTCACATCTGATTTTTATGATGCAAGTCTGAATACAGCAGCCACGACTGGACTGGGAATAAATTGGTCTACTTGCTGCACTGCAAGAAGGCCCCCGGGTCATGGAGATGGCATACTAATGGGTATATTAAGTTTGATTTCAGTGTGCTACTGTTGTTACATAGTTAAATAAACTGCTAGTTAAAAGGAGCAAGATTGACTGAAGTATTAGAAATAAACTTCAATTGCACACAGAAGTAAATATGGGTAATAATTATGTAGATTAATGAGCACATGAATTCTACAAAAATCAGATATGCAATTTGGCCACATGCACCCACACCCATGGCCCTCTAAGGTAACTAAAAATAACTATGCCTTATTGCTTTGAGATTTTTAAATGACATCTATCTAACACCATCTTTAGCGCATTAGATGGTATTAATGCAGCATGTTTTGATTCTAAAATATTATACAATCAAAACAGCCTGTTAGGTCTTTAGTTTGGATTTACTGTTATTAAACTGGAGTCTGGCAGACAAATCTCTCTTGAGAGATAATTCCTCCAGACAGGGACTCAATGAGCTAAAAGCTTGATACTTATATTTGCTCATTTTAACTGCAGAGTATTTATTATAATAAATTTATTATAATAAACAATACAGATGGTTAGTCATTAGCTGAATAGAGTCAGGTCCCTAGAGAGTGTAGCCAAATTAAATTAGAATTAAAGAAAAAAATCTAAACCTGATTTGCAGTTTCAGAGATTAACCAAACCATATGTTTGATATATGCATAATCAGAAGCTTGCTACCCACAAAAGCATTCTGATAGATTCAGCACTATAAAAAGTAAGCTTTTTTTTTTACATAAAATATTAAAATAATTTTTAAACAAAATGATTACCTTAATAAAAACTGAATAATCCAAACAGGTTAATGATTGCAATTTCTGATACTGAATGCACTTGGGAGTTCACAATCTCCCTATTCCAAAGAATTAGCAGGATACCCTTATTGAGCCAAAAAGGATAAATGACTTGTATGTCTATAGAGAGAACTTTATAGGAATACCTTTCACATTTTTAATTTATGCAATTCAGAATATTTGTGCCCTATAAAGACACAAATTACTTAACATTATTTAACCTCGGGGTTTTAGCTTTATTTGGATATTTCTACCCATCTGCAGTTCCTCTTGAAATTTCAGTTATTTACTTTCACTTCCTGTTTTAAATTGCAAGCAGGCAGAGTTGCTAAGAGCTATTAGTTTCCACATGCAACCTCTATGGCAGCTGAGTGGACCCCTCTGTATAGTTTGTGGAATGTTTTAGGAAGCAATGAGTATTAGTTATTAATTTCTCCTTCCACTCTGCTGTGAAGTTGGTTATGTATCACATTCTCTTAAAAACTCTTTCCAGTAGACCTATACTTACCATCCCACAGAGGCCTGCAGTAGTTTCACTTTCATCAGTGTATCTTATTTAGATCAGAAAGGGGAATCAAACAAAGGGTGTAAATATCAGTGGCTAAAGGACTGATCACACAAGTAATTATGACTTGTGCATGCTATTTTTCTGTGTCAGTCGTTTGGATGGAAGGCTGGTGAAAAGGCATCGTGCTGTTTATCGAAACACCAGTACTCCAGAGGTGGCTGCGTGTCCTGGATACTTGCATAATTTAACTTATGAAGTAATTTGGAAAGGCAGGTGCTAGCGCTCTGCCCTTCTCTAGCCAATTTTTCGGCCCCTATTAGTTTGGAAAGGCCAGTCCCCCCGCAGGGAGCGGGAGGAACCTGGGGTCCCGGTGCGCACCGCCTACACGGAAGGAGAAGTCCCTTGAGGGACTCACCGGGAGCCCAGGTCTGCCCGGTGACGGGGAGCCAGGGGCGCAGCCCGGAGGCGGCTCTCGCTGCCCAGAGCCTGCGGGCCACGCCCCGGCCCCCGCTGGCAGACGCGGCTCGCTCCTACCTGTCCCAGTTGCTGTCCCA